TCCCAGCAGAGCGCGGCCTCCGCTTTTTGCGGCACGGAGCGCGGCTGCGGCCCCGCACGGGAGGCCGCTGGGAGCCGGGTTTGCCCGCAGCGCCGGCAGGGCGCGAGGCCTCGCATTGCCCCGCTGAGCCCCGGGCCGGGGCGGGCCGCGCTGCCGCAGCCGTGGGTGCGGCCGCCTGGGCTGGGAGCGGCCGCTGCGGCCCCCCCGGCCGGCCGAGCTCGTAGCACGGGTTCAGCCCGGATCCCTTCGTGCCTGAAGGAAAGGTGCCGCGGGGAAGAGAGGAGTCCCTCCGTGCGGGGAACGGAGAGGAACGCTGCTACCGGAGCCCGCGGTGCGGCTGCTGCTGCCCGGCCACGTCACCTCGGCCGCATCCTTCTCGCAGGGGGGGCTCGGGGGGCAACTTCTGGCCCGGGGACCCGCAGTGCTGCGGAGCCGGCACGGCTCCCGGCCCGTGTTCCCACGCGCAGACGGGCCGCACCGAGGGCAGGGATGCTTTGGGAGCGACCGATCTCAGCTCCGGCTGCGTGCAGAATCCCACCCTGCCGGGCACGGCGCTGTGACGGAGGTGGGGGGGGGGGGGCGGGCCGCCCGGCTCTCCCTGCCGCAGCCCCCCAGCAGCCCGCACGGCTCGCGGTTACACCCGGCTGTAGCAGAAGATCTCGCTGAGGTCGTAGCCGGTCACCGCAAAGGAGTTTCCTTCGGGGTCACAGAACCGGGCACCGCAGATCTGGGTGTCGGTGACGCACTCAGCGTGGCAGTGCTGGACCTGCACAGAACCGCAGCGAGGGGCGCAGTTCGATAAGCCCGAGCCGCCTCACGTCCGCGCCCTGCTATGAACACAGCGCTCCGAGCGACGGGCAGGGAGAGCTGGGCCGGCAGCCGAGGCTACAGCCGGCCGGTTCACAGCCCAGGAGCCGTTCCTTTCTGCGCCCCACGTCGAGACTCGGGGCCGTGCCAACGGGAGGAGGAGCCGAGCGGCTGCAGCAGCCCAGGCCGGGCCCGGCCGGCTTTCCACTGCAGCGCCCCGAGCAGCCGCGGCAGCCGCGACCCTACGGCAGCGACCCGCGGCGCCCCGCTCCCGAATCCCCGCCGCCCGCTCGCGTCTCGCGCTCACCTCAACGTCGTCGGTGTCCGGGTTCCTGCTGAGCTTCCACACGTGAACGAAGGAGTCCTCCGCACCCGACAGCAGCTGCAGGGGGGCGGCAGAGAGGCCGTGGCACGGCGGGCCGATCCCCCCGACCGCACGCGGCCCCCGCCCGGCGCCCCGCGCAGCGCGCCGTACCTTTCCCGAGGCCGGTGCCAGGTCCAGGGCGTAAATCCAGCGGGCGTGCGCGCCCACCTCGGCCCGCAGGCTGCCCGTCGCTGCGTCGTACAGCCGGATCTGCCCGTTGCCGTAACCGGCGGCCACGATCCCGTTCCAGAGCCGCACGGAGGAGCAGGTCCAGCTGGGCGCGGGGCCGCCGTCACTTCCCCTCCCCCCGGCCGGCCGCAGACCCGCGCGCCCCCTCCCGCCCCGGCCGCTTCGGACTCACCCGAAGGCCGGGATCCTGTTGAGCAGGGAGAATTCCTCGCCGGAGCTCCACACGCACAGCGCCCCGGCGTCGTCAGCGGTCACCAGGTCCCCGGCCCCGTCCTGCGGGAGCGGCCGAGGCTCAGCGGGGCGGCGGGGCGGGCAGAGGGCGGCGAGCTGCCGACCGACGGCGGGCAGAAGCTGCCGCTGGCAGCGGGGCCGGAGCTGCCGCAGGCGAAAGCCGCGGCCTGCAGCACAAAGTTCAACCGCCCGCAGAAACTGCTGACATCTTGTGGAAGGGGAAAGCCTGGCCGTGAGCGTGTGAGAGTTTCAGCTTCAACACGCCGGTGTTCGGCAACGCTAATTAGAATTAATTACACGCGGGGGAAACTTGTGAGATCAATCTGCGCGTCTCCTCCCTCCGCTTTGGAGTCTCAGCACAAACTTCAGCCCCCAGCTGGGGTTCACAGCGAGCTCCGTCCCTCCGCTCAGACTGCAGAGCAGCGCCTTGGAGACCAGGCAGAGCGGGGCGACCGAGCAGCTCTCACAAACGAGCTCCACATCCAGGCTAATTGGGAACGAGTTCTAAGCAATTAATTGTTCAAGGGAGTCCCAAACGCAGGGAAAGCTCAACGCGCCTCGTTAGAGAACGTTATCAAAGCGGCCTCGTCGGGAAAGACGCAGCCGGTAATGAGGAAGGCAATTAGCGTGTCTGCTGAGATGTCACCCAGCGAGCCCAGGAGCCCCGTCCCGATTTCAGGCTGAGCTTTGGCACCGGGCAGAGCCATCCCGTCTGACGTGACAAGGGTCACCGCGCCGCTGGTGACGGTGAGACGCCTCCTCCCCTCTGCTGAGGGCGGGCAGGGGAAGCAGGTCTGCCCCCAGGAGCCCCAGGAGCAGCGCTGCCCTCGGCTTCCCCACCTCCCCGAGCTCCGGGCAGCACGGCGGCCCTGCGGCCCTCAGGATCCCCGTGCAGACAGGCAGGCCGGGGCCGTGCCCCCCTCGCCCCGCGCTCAGCAGGGCCTGTGCCAGCAGCTCCCTCATGGTGCCAGCTTGCCTTCTGCTGGCCGTTTATTCGCCGCCACTTTTGCTCGCTCGCTCTTGTTACAAGGCTGCTCTTTAGCTCTCAATGGCTCTTCCGTGCCCTGGCACCCTGACGTGTCACAGGCCATTCTCTGCCAATTAGTCACACTCTCACAGGCGCTCTTTGTGCAAAAGGGCCTCGGCTCCTCGTCCCATCAAGACGGTCTCTGCCGCAGCACTTTGCCTCCCCACAATCCGGCCAACCAGCACCGAGATTCGGCCGCTTACAAAACGCTGCCTGCAGGCGGCAGAGGCCAGGCTTGGCCAAGGAGGGCACGGCGCCACGTCAGGACGGCCCCGGGCAGCCACAGCGCCGACGGACGGCCGCAGCCCCCGCCGCCCCCCCCCCCCACGGGGCACTTCGTCCCCAGCGGCCGCTGGCGGTCACGCACGTACCGGCGCCTGGCCCAGCTCGGCGGCGATGTCGGTGATGGCGTCGCGGTGCTCATTCAGGACCTCGCTCACCGCGATGTCGGTCCCTTTCGGGGGGATGTCGAACACCAGCACCATCCCAGAGGACAACCCTGCGGGAGCGGCGCGCCGGAGGCGTCGGCAGGGACTGCAGCGCTGCTGTCCCCCCCCCCAGCCCGCCCCGTGTCACTGCCACACCTCGCTCTCCCCCAAGCCCTGCGCCCCCGCGAGGCTCGCTCGCACACGGCGCTTCCCTGCGGGAGCCACCAGGTGAGCGCAGCGCCTTCGGCCGTCACCACGTCACCCTGCTTCACCCACGGCTCCGCAGCACCACCCGGTGCGGCCCTGCCCGTTCCTCCTCCCGGTGCTTCACTCACCCACGCAGATGAAACGTTCTCCTGCTGCAGAGATCCCTCGGGCAAACGCGGCTTGTGCTGAAAAGGAACCAGGAGCCGGCTGGGCTGCAGCCTGCAGCAGCTCACATCATCAGCAGGAAGCTGGTGTGAGTGCCATCCCCGCCATCCCCGCTGCAGTTGCCACAGTGGGTCCCCATCCACCCACCCCAAGCCCAGGCTGTGCCTGCACAGTGGAGCTGGGGTGACGCAGAACCCCCTCCAGACACTCCTGCTAAGCTGCTGAGCGGCCCTGGCCTGGCTCAGTCCAGCCTGGACACAGGAGCAATGCTGTGGGTGTCTCCAGCCAGCAGGAACCGGGCTGCACCACAGGAACGCTCGGTCTCACGGCCCTGGGAAGAGAGGAGCAGAGGGCCCAGGGCTCCTCACTGCCCTCCTGCTGTGGGATTTACCTGGAGGAGGCTCTGCGATGTCCAGCGCGTGCCAATACACCATGATGGAGCCATCTGCTTCGTACATCTGGAAAGAGAAAAAAAAAGACAAATGAGACCCGGACAGCGGCAAAGCTCCCACAGCTTTGTGCTCCACCGCTGCCCAAAAGGGAGCAGCGGTGCCCTGGTTACGCAGCCCTGAGCCCAGCTGCCACCCCAGCGAGTTCACCTTCCCAGTGCTGCGAGCGTTGGTCACCCCGTGCAGGAGAACACCTCACCTGGATGCCTTTCTGACAGGTCAGCACCAGCAGGGTGCGTGCCGGCAGGACACACCAGGCAGCCTGGAAGGAAGCACAGCTCAGCAGGGGACCGGCAGCCCTCATCCCTCCCCAGGGCTGCCCGCAGCCGCGTTTCCGGCTCTTGTCGAACGGGGCGGGAGCTGGGATGGATCGCCTTCAGGGAGCCTCTTCAGGAAGCTCCTTCCCTCCCATCTCTGCAGTCGGACTCCACGGTCCTTAGGGGACCGTTTCAACCCGAGATGCTCCGTGTCTCCAGGCCCCTGTAACTCGGACATCGCGGGCTCCCTCCCCCGTCCCAGCGGCGCCCCGCTCCGTCCCTCGGCACGGCGGCCTCTTCTCGCCCCTTCGCCCCACCGCCTCCTCGCGCTCAGCGCCGTCTGCGCCGCGTGCCGCCCGCCTCGGGCGCCGCCCGCACAGCGCGGAGTCGCCGGCAGCGCCGCGCCTGGCCGCCGGGAGGGGAACCGGAGCGGAGGCCCAGCTGGCGGCACCGCCTCCCGTCCCGCCGCCGTCGGTACCCGGCCCTCGGCCCTCCTCCGGCTCCCCGCCCGGCTCGTCCCCGCTCCGCTCGGGGACGGCGGCCCGGCCGAGGGGCGGCGCGGGGTCCCACCTGCGTGACGAGCGAAGCCCCGCCGCCCGGCCGGGCCTGGAGCTGCCGCTGGGCGCGGCCCGCCGCGTCGCCGGTGGCGCTGAGCACGGTGACGGCGGGGCCGTGCACGGAGCCGAGGAAGGCGAGCCGCCCTCGGGGCGGGAGGAGCACGCTCAGGTTGTTGTAGAGCGCCGAGGAGCTGCCGCGCAGCGCCATGCTCTTCTCCCGGCGGTACATCGCGGCCCGCGGCGCTCCCGCCGCTCCGTCGCCCCGGGCCGGCTCCAGCCCCGCTCCGATCCCGGTCCCGCTTGCTCCGCGGCTCGGCCGCTGCCCGCCGTAACCATGGAGACGGCGGCGCAGAGCGATGACGTAAGGGGGAGGCGCGTCGCGATGATGTCATCACAGAGCGCCGAGATTCGGGAGCGACGTTGCCGTGGACACCGAGACGCCGCCCTGCGGGGAGAGGTGAGCGGGGCGGCGGGGCGGCGGGGCGGCGGGGCCCGAAAGGGTCCAGGGTGCCGAGGGGAGCTGGGGACGCCGGCGGCCGCGCAGAGCCGTGCCGGGAGGGCGCGCAGCCCGGAGCCGCCGCCTCCAGCCCTGCGGCCGCCGTGTCCCCGTGCAGGCCATGACCTCCCGCGAGCGCACGGCCGCCGCCCGGCAGCGCGGGGACAAAACGCGGACCCCCAGCGCCGCTCCTCCGGACGCGGCCCTCGGGCGGCTGTGCGAGGCGCAGTGGCTGTCCGTGCTGGCGGCCGAGGAGCGGGACGACGTCGTAGGGGACGCGGTGGCCGAGCTGCTGGGAGCCGTCGTGGAGCGCTGCTTCCAGGCCGAGCTGGCCCGGCAGGTGGGCGGCGCGCAGCCCCGGGTGTCCGCGTTGGGTCCGGGCGCGCTTCGAGCGCGTGTCACGGCGCCGACGTGCGGCCCTGCGCGGGCAGTGCGTGCCGTTCGCCGTGAGCCAGGCGAGGGCCGAGCTGCTGCGGGCGGCCGCGTGGCGCTTCCCGGTGCGGGACGAGGGCGACGCGGAGCTGGAGGCGGCCGGTGCGTGGCAGGAGGACGAGGAGCCCCCGCCGGGTGCCACCGAAGCCTGGGCTGAGGGTGCCGTGCCCATCCTGCGAGTGTGTCCGGCCGCAGGGCACGGAGAGGTGATTCCCCCCCTGCCTTTCCCCCCCCAGCGCTGTGAGTTTCTGTTCTCGCGCGCGTGGCCAGGATGGGGGAGTCATCTCGTAACTCACCCCTTAGCAGCCCCGCTTTGCCCTTTCCCAGGGAGGCTGGGCGCTGTGCTCTGTGCCCCGGCCCCACTGCTGTCCCTGTGCTCCGCCCAGGTCTCCAGCACCGACACGGACGCCGTCCCATCCGAGGCTGAGGGGGGCGGCGTGCCACTGCCCTCCCCAACACCGTCGGTGCAGGATGAGGTGCTCGACGCTCCCCAGCCCTCCGAGGGATCGGGCAGCCCCCCCCGTGCCAGCCCTGCTGCCGGCCCCGCTCAGCCGCAGCACGGCCCGGCCCCGGCGCCTGCCTGGCATCAAACACCCAGGGCCACGGTTGTGGGCGGAAATCAGCGATGCGGCAGAAGCTGAAGGGCACGGAAAGCCACAGCCCCCCTCCTGCAGCGACCTGATAGCGATGTGGGCACGGAAATCTCTGCGCAGTGAGGGGTGGGCGTGCGATAGGCGCAGCGCCGCTCTGCTGCACCCCTCCACGCTCCGGATCCGGCCCCACGTGGAGGTGTTGGAGCCGGGCACAGAGATCGAGAGGCAGTCGCGTCCCCTGCGGCACCGGCGGCAGCCCCGCGGCCCCTCTGGGCAGGATGTGGGGCCGGGTGCCTCGCGGTCGCCCCGAGGGCTGGCGGCTGTGGAGGCGCCGCGGCTCTTACCGCCCATCGCGGGGGCCGGGCAGCCCGGCAGCTCCCGATCTCCGGTGCTGGGCTCCTTACTGGGCACCGTCCGGCTGGCTCCCGGTGTCACCATCAGGCACGGAGGCAGCGAGGGGCGCGGGCTGCGCCTCCCTGTGCGCAGAGAGGATGCGGAGGAGGAGACGGGAGAGGCCAAGAGGGACCTGAGGCCTCTCCGCCCCACTGTGCCCTTCCCTGCCATCGCAGTCAGCCAGGTCACCGGCGATGGCACGCCTTGAATACAGCAGAGTCCAACATCTCCTGGCTGTGGGCCTGAGTGCGGCGTGGGGTGAGAGCTCCCATCTGCTCCATCCGGGATGGCAGCCCCGTCCCATCCTCATCCCGGGGCGTCGCGGTGCCTCGGCTCCTTGCTGTGATGCTGGCTGCCAAGCCCTGCTTTCAGCAGCTCCCGTAGGATTAAGGTGAAGGGACGCTCGGGGTCTGCACCCAAACATCAGCCCCAGTGGAAGCTCAGAACAGATGTGCTGCAGGGGTTGGCCCTCCCACAGCCACATCCACCCCGCTCTGTGGTTCTCAGGGCAATCTGGGGGAGCCTCGCAGCGCTCAGCAACTGCAAGGGAAAAAGAGAAGGGAGAGATGGAGAGGCAGGGAGAGCAGCAGCCCCCGACCCAGCGCCAGGCCTGCTGAGGGCTGTTTGGTGCACAGAGCCCCCCAGACCGTGTGCACCCCTGTTTATCGGCCCCCTTCCTGCGCTTCTGGACCCCTCTGTAACCTCAGTGCCAGGTGTGGCTGAGCGGCCCGGGCTGTCCTGTGGGACAAGGTGCGCTCAGCCCGCTCCCGCCTGCTCTCCCACCCCGCTGCCCATCTCTGCCCTGCGTCCCGGGGCCAAATTGCTGCCACCCATCCCTGCTCTGTGCTCCAGCAGCTGGCGGAGCTGCCGTGCTCTGCTGCCGGGGAATCGGGAGGGAGCTGCACGGTGCTCAGCTGCGGGGCCGGGCCAATGCCTCCAGCTGGACTCTGCCCCCCAGCTGCTCCTGGGCGCTCCTCCAGCCGCAGCCATGGAGCTGCCGAGCTTCTGCAGCCACCCGCTGTGGTCCGTGCTGGCCTTGCTGCTGGGGATGCTGCTCTGGGCCACGAGGAGACGCGCCTGGGACCCGCGCAGGTGTCCCACCGACCTGACCGGCAAGACGGTCATCGTCACCGGAGCCAACAGCGGTGAGAGGGGCCTCGGTGGCACCGTGGGGCTGTGAGGGGCTGCGGGTGCCGCGCCGTGGGACGAGGGTGACACGTGGGGCAGCGTGGGGACGTGGGGCGGCTCGTGGGTCCCTGCCCTCCCGCTGCCAGCTCCGGTGGGGCTGCGGGAGAGGTGGCTGCCTGTCCCCGGGCTGCTCTCTGCCACCCCACGCTCTGCCCCACGCTCACCGCCCATCGGCGACGCCGTGCCCCGCTGTGCCACCGCCCGGAGCTGCTGCTTCTCGCTGTGCACCAGGTAACCCGGCAGCAGCCCCGCGGCTGGACTCTGCCCTGCCGGGTCGATGGCTGACAGCCGAGGCCGCCGCCTGTCCCTGCGCCGCCACGGCCCTGAGCTTCGTGCTGGGCGCTGGGCTCTGTGCTCCCACAGCGTCCCTCGGCGCAGCGCGGGGCTGAGTGTTGGGCAACCCCTGCCGTGTGCCCGTGTGCTCGGCACAGGGTGGCTGCACGTGGCCTGGGCCCATCCCCTCCCCGTCGGTTCCTGCCACGTGGCAGCAGCTGCAATGAGCTGCCGGCCCGGCCCTTCCCACAGCCCACAGCAGCGCCATCCCCATCCTGTCCTGCAGGATCACAGAACGGCCCGGGTTGGAAGGGACCTCGAGGATCACGAAGCTCCAACCCCCCGCCACACGCAGGGCCACCAACCTCCATATCTAAGGCTACACCAGGCTGCCCAGGGCCCCATCCAACCTCCAACCCCTCCAGGGATGGACGGGGCATCGCAGCCTCTCTGCAGCTGTTCCAGCCCCTCCCCGCTCTCACAGCACACAACTTCCCCTGACACCCAACCCCAAGCTGCCCTCCCTCAACCCCTCACCACCCGTTTCTGCCCCACGCTGACACCCCCAGCTCCCGAGCCGTGGTGCCCCCGGTTTGGTGCTGAGCTCCCAGCAGTGCCAGCACGGAACCCCGCTGCCATCACACCCTGCCCTTCTCCACCCGGGGGGCACAGATCCCACCGGCCGCAGGCGGTCGCCCGTTCTGTGCGTTACAGGGATCGGGAAGTGCGTGGCCATGGACCTGGCCCGCAGGAACGCCCGCACCATCCTGGCGTGCCGGAGCCGGGAGCGCGGCCAGGCGGCGGCGGAGGAGATCCGGGCGGCCACCGGCAACCCCAACGTGGTGCTGCGCCTGCTGGATAGCGGCTCGCTGGCCTCGGTGCGCGCCTTCGCCGCGGAGGTGCTGCGGGAGGAGAAGCGCCTGGACGTGCTGGTCAACAACGCCGGCCTCACCGGTAACGCCCCGCGCCCGCCGCCGCCCCGCCTCGCTAAAACCGCGACCCCACGGCACCGCGCGCCTCTTGCAGGGCTGCCTTTCGCCCTCACGCCCGAGGGCTTGGAGCGGACCTTCGCCACCAACTACCTGGGCCCGTTCCTGCTCACCAACCTGCTGCTGGGTGAGCCGAGGGCTGCGCGCTGGGGGCGGCCGGGCTGGGGGGGGGGTGCCGGGTGAGGACCTCATGCCCCGCTCCGCGCAGACCTGATGAAGGCGTCGGCGCCCGCCCGCGTCGTCACCGTCTCGTCCTTCCGGCACAGCGCGGGCACCGCGGACGTGCGATTCCTCACCGGGCAGGCGAGGCCCGGCGGCTTCGATCCCGTCTACAACAGCACCAAGCTGATGAACGTCCTCTTCACCGCCGAGCTGGCGCAGCGCCTGCAGGGCACGGGTGGGTGATGGGCCGCGCCGTGCTGCAAATTGCCACACCGTGCTGCACCGTGCCCTCCTGTGCCGTGCCCTGCCCTGCTGCACCATGCCGTGCCGTGCTATGCTATGCTGTGCTATGCTGTGCCATGCTGTGCTCCTGTTGCATTTGGCTGCAGGCTCTCAGGCCCAGCAGCACCTCAGGGCTGCCCACCCATCCCAACTGCACGGCGGTGCCGTGGCACAGGGCCTGCATGGGGGGCTGCAGGGGCTCAGCAATGCCCCGGGACCCCGCGGACACGGGATCGGGGATGGCTGTCATCACCGGTGGGGTCGGGGCTCTTCCCGCTGCCCCAGCTTTCCGGGGCCGCCCCACGGGCCCCTGCTTGGCACGGGGGGATTTGCCTGCCGTGGGCCGGACGGTGACGGTGCCGCCGGGCAGGGGTGACCGCCAACAGCCTGAACCCCGGCGTGGTGAGCACCGGCATCATGCGCAACTTCAGCTGGGTGGTGCGCGGCCTCTTCTTCCTCATCAGACCCTTCATTAAGGTGAGCGGGGCCACCCCCGGCGACGGGGCTCCGGGTGGGCAGGGGGCGGCGGGGTCCCCGCTCAGCTCTTTTCTCCCCGGCAGTCGGCGGAGCAGGGCGCCGTCAGCACCATTTACTGCGCCGTCTCGGAGGAAGTGTCGGGCATCTCAGGGAAGTATTTCGGCAGCGACTGCAGCCTCACGCTGCCCTCCGCAGCCGCCCGGGACGCCGGGCTGGCCCGCAAGCTTTGGGAGGAGTCGGAGCGGCTGACGGGGCTGAGCCCATAGGCTGGGCGGCCCCGAGACCCCCGCCCGCTAGGAGCCGCGATGGGGCAGAGACGGAGCGAGCGGCCGCGGCGTAAGCGCTTTATTAAAGGCCTCGGTGTGAGCGCTACTCCCAGGTGATGTCCAGGTCCAGCCGCTGCTTCCGCACGGCCTGCAGGAAGCCGTCGTAGTCGCGGCGGTGCACATCGCGGCAGCGGGACACGTCCAGGCGGCGCAGGCGGCCGTCGGAGGCCAGCAGCAGCCGCACGGTGCGCCCGGACACGCGGCTCTCGACCAGCGAGAGCTCCTGCAGCTCCTGCAGCGGCGGCCCCGGCGCCGTCAGCACCGTCTCGAACACGGAGTCCAGCGGCAGCGCGATGCCGAGCAGGCGCAGGCTCTGCAGGCGCGGGCAGCGGCACAGCAGCGACGCCAAGGTGGCGCGCAGCAGCAGCCCGTGGGGCTCCGGGACGGGTCCGGGCAGCGCCAGGGAGAAGCGGCGCAGGCGGGGCAGATCGCGGGGCAGCAGCTCCGTGTCCCACCGCGGCGGCTCCTCGGGCGGCTCGGCGTCGGGGCGGCCGCGCGGCGGGGGCCGCAGCTCCGCGCTGAAGTCCCGCAGGTTGGGGCAGCAGCCGAGCAGCGCGCACAGGGCGAGCTCGTCCTCCAAGAGGAAGCCGTGCAGCGCGAGGCTCTGCAGCCGCGAGCCCAGGCCGCGCACCAGCGGCAGCGCCTCGCACAGCGCCCGGCCCCGCGGCCCCGCACACGACAGCCCCAGCCGGGCCAGGCGGCTCCAGCTCAGCAGCGCGTCCCAGGCGTCCGTCTCGCCGTCCCCGAGGCACGCGGTCACCTCCTCGGCGTCGGGGCAGACGGCGCGGGCGGCCGCCAGCTCGGGCTCCGTCAGCTCCTCCAGGTGCCGCAGGGGCAGCGCGAGCGGAGGGCCGCCGCGTCGCCGCTCCAGCTCCCGCAGCGAGGGGAAGCCGTCGGCGTCGCCGGTGTCGTCGAGCCGCCCCGCGTGCAGGAGGGCGAGCGCGGCCGGTGCGTCGCCGTGCGCCAGCACCTCCAGGAGCGGCAGCGCCAGCAGCACGAAGGCCAGCGCAGGCACCGCGCCGCCCCCCGCCGGCTCCAAGCCGCGCGCCAGGAGGACGCGGAGCATCGGGCAGCCCGGGGTCCGTTCCAGCGGGTCGTAGGCCAGGTGCCGCAGGGCGCGCGGCGTCACCTTCTTGCAGCGGGACACGTCCAGCTCCCGCAGGCGGCGGCAGGAGGAGCCCACGGCCGCCAGCACCTGCACGTTGGCCTGCGTCTCCGCCAGCCCCAGGCGGCTCAGCAGGGGCAGCTCCTCCACCAGGTCCACCAGCACGTCGGTCGACAGCCGGCTGCAGCCGTGCAGGTCCAGCGCGCTCAGGCTCTGCGCCCGTAGACGAAGCTGCATCAGCAGGGCCTGCGGCGTCGCCGGCGCTCCCCGAGCCCCACGGCAGCTCGAGCCCCTGCAGCGCCCGGCCCACGCCCCCGGTACAGCAGACGGCCTTGTGCCCAAGCGGTGCTGGGAGGGGAAAACCAGTGCAGACCAGTGCCCCTCGTCCCCTCCCTGATGTCCCACAGCAGCTGCCAGACTCTGCCCCATGCAACACCAACCGGCTCCGCTCGCAGCCCCACAGCAGGCACCCCCTGCCCACACCCAGCCCCGCTCACCTTGCAGCGCACGGTGATGAGCTGCCCGATGGCGTTGCTGACCAGGCCGTGGCAGTGCTGCAGGCTGAGCTCCTGCAGGTGAGGCAGCAGCAGCAGATGCAGCGCAGCACGCGACAGGCGGCGGCTCTCGCCCAGCAGCCGGATCAGGTCCTGCACCAAACTGCCGGCTGTGGGCAATGAGGGTCAGCAAGCAGCACCGCCTGCCTGCCTGCCTTCCTCCTCGTGCACCCCGCAGCTCACCCAGGTCGTTGAAGGGGCCCATGACGAAGCGGAAGCTGTACTCATCCAGGTAGTTCTCGCTGTAGTCCTTCACCCACACGCTCTGCATGTGCTGCACCAAGCTCTGCAGGCAGAGGCTGCCCAGCGTCGGCACCGCCTTCCTCCGGGGCATCGACTGCTGCGGGGAAACGAACGGCTGAGCAGCAGGGCCGGGCGGCGGGGTGTGTTTAGGCGAGTCTGCGAAGCCGTTTAGGAGCACCGCCGCCCGGCCGCGTGCTGCCAGCGGGCTCGGCGACATCGCCGGCACGGAGCCGCGGTGCCGCTCCCGTAGCAGCTCTGCACGGCAGCTGCGCTCTAAGCGCCCGGACGGGCTGGGACGCCGGCAGGACCGGCAGCTCGGCTCGGCGCAGCCCCGACCGTCAGCGCGGCTCCCCCGCGCCGATCCCAGCCGCCGGGCGGCCCCTCGCTGTCACGGCCGACCCGGACGGGGATGGCTGGCAGCCGGGCGCGGCGACCTCAGAGCTCCTTCCTGGCCCCGACGACCCCGCGGTTCTCCCAGCGGCTCCGGGACCGGGGAACCGCGCCCCGCACGGAGCCGTTCTCCGCCGGACCAACGCGCCAGAGAACCCAGCCCCGCCAGCCCGGTGCTGGGGGTCGGGGCCGGGCCCCGGTGGGGCCACTTACCGGCTGTGCCCGGCCCGGCCCGGCTCGCTTCCTCCTCCCGCCCGGCCCCACCCATGGGGCAGCGCCCCACCGCCCGTCCCGCCCCGCTCCCCCCACGCCCGGCCGGCGTCACTCGGCTCACTGCGCATGCGCGCAGCACTCGGGGTCCTTCCACCTCCCCCCCCGGGCTGCCCACAGCCGTGCCGCACCGCGTGGCCGCACCGCGGGCCGTGCCGGCCGTCAGGCGCGGCTCTGGGCGGCCCGAGGGGTCCTCGCGAGGGGCTTCGCGGCCGGGCGGCGGCTCCGAGCCTCCGGATCGGGGCCGGGCGCGGCGTTGAGGTACCGGCGGCGGGGGGCGGGCGGGGAGCGGCGGCGCGGTTGGGCTCCGGGCCGCGAGGCGATCCGTGCCGCTCTGCCGGCCGAGCTGAGGGCTGCGGTTCGCCGCGCCGCGCCGGCCGTGCTGTGCCGAGCGCGTCTGGAACCGCGCTGAGGGAACGGGCTGGGCCGGGCGGAACCGGCGGGATCGGGAGCCAAAGCTGTGAGCGACCGGCGGATGGGAGCGGGAGGGGCGGCCTCTGACCGGGGAACAGCGATGGGGGGACATGGAGGGCCGGGATGGGGCCCGGTTGCGGTTGGGGTCAGGTGAGTGTCAGGGCGGCTCCCGGCCCGCTCAGGCGCTGCCGTTCGGTGCCCGGGGAGCCGCGCGGCCCCCGGCCCTGGAGCTGTCGATGTGCGAGCGGTTGGTGGTCGGGCCGAATGATCCTAGAGGTCTTTTCCAACCGTAACGGTTCTGGCGCTCAGCGCTGGGATGCGTGGAGGAATGGAGGCGCCCCCAGGCACGGGCACAAAGCTGGGAGCAGTGGCTGATGGCCCAGAGGGCCGCGCTGCCATCCGGCACCGCTGGGCGGGCTGAGGGCTGGCACAGGGGAACCTGATGGGTTCAGCGTGGCAGCGCAGGGCTGGGCATGGGGGAGGCGAGGGGGGAACAGCTGCAGTGCACAGGTTGGGCTGGGATGCTGGAGAGCAGCTCTGCGGAGAAGAAGCCGAGGGCCTTGATGGCCAAACGCTGACGTGAGCCGGCAGTGCAGCAACCCTGGTGGCCCAGGAGGCGCACGGTTCCCTGGGCTGCAGGCACAGAATGCGGCCAGCAGGGCAGGGAGCCGCCCGGCCCCTCTGCTCCGCCGCGGGGACAAAACATGCGGAGCACTGCGCCCAGTGCGGGGCTCCCGGTTGAGGGCAGGCAGGAGCTGCCGGGGCCTGGAGCAGCTCCTGACGGGGGCAGGCTGAGAGCCCCGGGCCGTGCGTGTGGAGGAGGGGAGGCTGAGGGATGCGAGCGGCGCTGAGGGGATGCGCGGAGGGCTGGAGCCGGGCTCTGCAGGGCAGCAGGCAGGGGCTGCAGGCCGGGCAGCTGGAAGCGCTGTGCTGAGGGGGCACGGAGCACGGGGGCTGCGGGGTCTCCTTTCTGCAGGTACCCGAAGCCACCTAAAGGGCCGCTTTGTGTGGGGAACGGACCGGCGGTGGGACTGGGGAGCTGCAGAGATCCCTGGCAGCCCCTCCAGCTGTGAGTCACCACTTCTCTGCATTCAGCTCTGAGCAGCACCTGGTGCAGCTCGCTGCCCTCAGCCGCCGCCTCCAGCAGGGGGGCTGCCCTTATCGTGAGGTGCAGTGCCGTGTTCTGTATTGAAGATGCTGCCAAGGTCTTTCTGTGTGACCTTGGGCAGATCTCTTTTCCCCTCTCCTCCCTCAGCTCTCTGACGTGAGGTGGTGGCTGTGACCTACTTCACAGGGAGGATCCCTGCCAAACGAACACGAGGCGCTCGGAAGTTCCTTTGGAACTACTGGGAGCAGCTGTCAGCAGTTCAGCATTTGTTATTTCTGTTCCTGCTATTCTAAGCAGAAAGGAGGCTCCAGGAGCTGCCGGCCTGGAAGCTGAGCTTCCCTTGGCGAGCAGTGCTGTCCCAGCGCAGCACAGAACAGAAGCACTGAGCAGTGGTGGCCGTTGCAGAGCTTGCAGAGCAGGCACGGCTCACATCGGCCGTTCTCAGGGGCCGAATGGGGGCTGAATGGGGGAGGCGGGCAGGTGCTGCAGGGATGGGGGGCGTGAGGGTGAGCGGAGAGCACTGACCTGTCCTTGCTGGGCCGCGGCGTCCTGCGCTCCGTGGTGCTGTGCCGCATGGCTGCGGCCCCCATGGTTTGCTTTCGGCTGCAGGAAAGCCTCCCCCGAGTGCTGGGAGGCGCAGAGCTGCGCCTGCTGTGCCTGCTGTGCCCCGGCTTTGTTGCGGCGCTGCTGGGCTGTGCTGGAGTTGTGCTGCAGCCGAGCACGGCGCAGGCTCACGGAGCCGCCTGCAGGGTCCTAAAGCCTGGAGCTGCGCTGGGGGCTGAGCTGCTCGCGGCTCTGCTGGGTTGAGGTGACGTGGGCTCCAGAAACTTCTCCTTGCTGCCTTGCTGTATGGGATGCCGTTACCAGTGAGAGCATTAATGAAGGTGTTTGATGGTCTGGCTGAACGGGACAGAGGAGCGTGGCTGTCCTTCTGTCTGCAGTGCTGGGGTCGGAGCTGCAGAGCATCTGTGGGTCTGGTGGCGTCCTGGGGCAGAGTGGTGCCCATCCTGTGGGGTGCTGAGCTCAGGGAGGAGCGCAGCTCCAGAGCAGACAGAGTGCAGGCATTCGGGACAGCGGGAGCCCAGGCTGGCTCAGCAGTGAGCGTGCGTGGCTGAGAGCTCAATTCAGAGTCCTGCACTCAGCAGCTTTGGGGTTTTGCACAGGGACACCATAAAGGCAGAGCCCTGAAGTGCTGCCCTTAGGATCCCTGTTCTGAGCAGAAGGGTGCAGGAAGAGGAAACCCCCTGTAGAGCTGTAGAACAGCCTGGGCTGCACAGGAGCACAGCGCTCATCCAGCTCCAACCCCTGCTGTGTGCAGGTCAACCAGCAGCCCGGGCTGCCCTGAGCCACATCCAGCCTGGCCTTGAATCCTGTTGCATCCCCAGCCTCCTTGGGCAACCTGTAACACTGCCCCACCACCCTGTGTGTGAAAAACCTCCTGATATCCAACCTAAACTCCCCTGGCTCACTTTAAAACCATTCCCCTCGTCCTACCTATCAGAAAGCTTTGCCAAAGCAGCTCTGCGAGGACGGAACAGTGTTAGGATGAGTTCAGCTCTGTGTGGATAACAGCAGGGGTTCTGGTGGCTGCGAGCTGCTCCAGGTCGTGTTTGAGCTGCTGCTTCTTGTCCCAGCTTGCGGCCAAACGGTGGGTTTGTGCTCTGTGCTCCTCAGCCTGGTGCTGCCGTACCCCTCAGGAAGGGCAGGGCCCAGCGCTGCTGCCACGACCCGGAGCTCTGTGAGGAGCTCCTGTGACATCTCTCCCCCTTTTGCAGGTGAACGAGGATTGCTGGCAGCCCGGAGGCCGCAGTGCGAAGCATGCGCTGTGCTGCGCTGTGCTGCCCTGTGCTGACACGCTCCTGAGCCGCAGCGCAGCGCAGATCCAGCCGCCTCTCAGCACAGGTAGGAGCTCCTGGAACGCAGCTTTGGCTCACCAATAAAACGCTGCCCCATGTTGGCTTCTCATCTTTTGGTCCAAGTTCGGTTCGTATCCAAAATCCTCATCGTGAATGGGAGCAGAAAGCAGAAGGGCGCTGCTGGAGCGGTGGTTGTCCCTGCAGGTGCTGCTGTGCCGTGCTGTGCAGAGCAGTGAGTGCTGGAGCATTTGCCTCTGCGTAACCTGGGCTCAGGGAGCCCAAATTGGGGCTCTTGCTCTTTCTTGGGAGCTGTTTTGCAGCTGTTGTGTGCAGGTGAAGGCTTACAGTTGCCACTGCTGTCCTTCCTGGGCCCTTCTGCGCTTGTTTTACACATCATGGCTTCGTATGAATGTGGGGTTGGCACTGATGTGCAGGCGTGGCTTCAGCGCTCGCTACAACGCTGGTTTTTGTGTGCAGTGCCCCAGGTCTCACCTGGAGCCAACGGCAAAGAGGGGAGGGCAGCGATGCTGCATTTTTGTTGGCCTTTGGTAACTTTTTGTGATGGATGTTCTAAAGCAGCACCTTTAGAACAGAGTGTGGAGAGGAGAAGCACCTTCAGCTCGGATGTGAGGTGGGGGGGAGGTGGCTGACAGGTCGTGGCTTCCTTTCATGGCGGCTCCTGCACGCAGTGGCCATTCAGAGCTGCAGGACGGAATCACCAGGGCTGGATCCTCACCGCCAGCAGAGCCACATCTGTGGTCCTCCGCACCCCTGGTGACCCCAGCCCACGTTGGTGCCTGACTGCTCTACAGGAGAACCAGCTGCTCTGATCTCCAACCTGAGCGTCTCCCTGTGTGAGGCCAACTCACAGCCCTGCAGGCGTTGGAGGCCAGGCTGGATGTGGCTCTGCTGGTTGGGGACCCTGCACACAGCAGGGGGTTGCAATGAGATGAGGGCTGTGGGCCTTCGCAACCCAGGCCGTTCTGTGATTCTGTGGGTCTCTATGCGACCCTACGGGGGATCTGTGGCTCCCTGTGAGTCTGTGTGAGTCTCCATAGGGATCTGTGTGTCTCTATGGATCCCTCGGGGTCTCTGTGGGTCTCTATGGGGATCTGCGTGTCCCTGTGTGTCCTTGGTGACCCCGCACACAGCGGGGTTGGAACGAGATGAGCATCGCGGCCCTTTGCAGCCCAGGCCATTCCGTGATTCCACGAACTCCATTTTGGCTCTGCTTCCAGACGGAGCTGTTGCTGTGCTTTGCCCCAGTGGCTGCGGTTTGTCGCAGCCCCAGCGCTGCCCCGGGCTCCTTCCTGCCCATCCTCTCCTTGTTAAACAGACCCCAGCTGGGCGCGGGGCAGCGCCGCACGTGGCGCAGAGCTCGGCTTCTCGTCGGCCCTTCGTACAACGTTCAGAAGTTGGCCGCGGCCGTGCGGGAGATGAGGGGCGCCGCGGTTGCCGTGGTTCGTCGTTGCGCCCAGCCGTCACGGTGGGCTCCCCTCGCCCAGCCGGGACCCCGCTGCCGGTGGGCGCTGCTCCCTGCGGGCGGCCCTCGCCTCCCCCGTGGGCGCCGCCGTCGGCCGGGCTTCGGAGCTGCGCGAGCTGCCGCTGCGAGCTGCGGGGCGCCGGGGGAGCGGCACAGCTTGCCCGCAACCCCACGCCTCGCCGCCGGAGCGATGGCTTCGGTCGTAGAGCGGAGGCTGCGCGGCTTTGCGGCCGGGGTTCGCCCCGCGTGCTGCAGCGGCGGCCCGGCCGGCGGCGTTAGGACCCAGCGGGCCGCGCTGCGGCGCTGAGTGGGAGCGCAGTACGCAGCTCCGTCAGCTGGGCTGGATTCCTGCGGCCCCGTGCCGGAGCATCCTCTGCCGGAACGCGGCTCTGCCCTCTCGCTGCCGCCCGGCTGAGCGCGGCCGGGCCCGAGGAGATCGGCCGCAGCCCCGGAGCCCGCGCCGTGCCGCTGCCAGCCATGAGCCGAGCCGCTACCGAGGAATTATAAATACCTCGTCGGGATAAAGGGCGACGGCGGCATGGCGCAGAGCAAGAGGCACCCGCACGGCCGGGTGAGTCGGGGGAGGGAACTTAGGGACAAACTCCTGGCTGCGCTGCGGGAGCCGCAGTGCCGGAGGAGCGAGGTGCCGGGCTGCCGGGCTGCTGTGCTGCCGGGCTGCCGTGCTGGGCTGCGCCCTGAGCCTGGTGCCCCCGCGGCCGGCAGCGCCTGCGAGGATGCTGGAGTGGCTGAGCGGTGCCGCCCGCTGCGTCCGTTGGCGTTAAATGAGTCTTTCTGTGCTGGTAATTAGCAGGGCGATGCGCAGAGCCGTCAGCGAGCTCCGCGTGGCGGAACGTCTGGGCACAAAGGTTCCGCCTTGTTTTCCTTCCTGCGTCGCTGTTTTTCTCCTCTGTGCCGATCCGTGGCGAGGCGCTGAGCTCCCGAATGCCTGCTGGCCTCCGCCGGGCTCCGCTGTGCCACGCTGAGCCCAATGCGGGCAGCACGGCACCGGCCGGGCCTGGCGCTGCGGTCCGGCCCCAGCCGGGCCTCCATCGTGCTGCGCTGCCGCCGCGTCCCAGCGCCTGGGCTGAGCAGCGGGGCTGCAGGCTCTGCTGAGCGCCGGGTGAGCGGGAGGCGAAGGCCGTGTGTGGCAGCTGATGCTCCGAGGCCAGGAAGCTGCCTTCGCCCGGGCTGCCGCGGGCTGGGAAGGTGAGCTCCCAGCGCTGGGTGCCGCTCGGCCCCGCAGGTTTGTCGGCACCCAACGTCCCCGTGTTGCTGGGCAGCGGGGTGAGGAGGCGACGTTTCGGACCAAGGTTGCCGGCTCTGCCCTCGGAGCAGTGCTGGGTGCTGCCTGCTGAGCGCAGCTCTGTCCCCTGTGATTTGCTCTGGTCGCAGCTGGGAATGGGCAGCGTGGGGCCGCCCGCCCCGTGCCACGTGCAGCTCTGTGCCCTGGCGCCGTGGGGCTGAGTGTGAGCGCTTACCTGTGGTCCGTTCCCTCTTGTGACGGCTTTGAGTCGCGCCTTGCTCCGAGGCCAGTGGCGTTTTAACCCCCAGCTGTGCCTCTCATCGCAGGAGCGCAGCCTCCTGCCCAGAGCTTCGGATCTGTGCTGTGAGTGACGCTTTGAGGAGCAGTCGCTGCGTTGGTGCTGTGAGGCCCTGGGAGTGCTGCAAACTGCTGCACGGGAGAAAAAGCCTCAGGGTGAGGGGACGGAGCCCTGGGGTGCACTGGGTGCGGGGTCTCCTCCTCTGGAGGTGCTCAGAACCACCTGGGTGTTGTGGGCAGCGTGTGCTGGGCTGCAGGGTCCAACCTGCCCCGCTCTGCTGGGTCCCCAATGCTGGGCAGCCCAGCACTGCGGTTCTGCTGGGACAGAGCACTCATAACACAGCTCGAGTCCCTTGGAATGACGTCTGTTTCTCAGGGGCTGCTAACCAGCATCTTTCAGAAGGAAGCTGTTTGTAAGTCCAGGCCGTCCTCTGGATGGGGTAAAAGTGGGGAAGCGGCGTGTTGCTGAGAGGCAGCGTTTGGGGCAGCGCCGCTGCTGCTCCTGTTGCCCCGTGTCCCAGCCAGGTCCCTCCTGGCCTCCCCTGAGGGCTCCACTTGTCCCTGGGTTTCGCCTTGCGCCACTTGGCTCCGCTGTTGTGCGAGGCTCTGCTGGAGCTGCCTCAGCCCTGCGCTCCCCATCCTCTTCCATCACAGAACTGGAGGGGTTGTGAGGGATCTCTGCAGCTCCCGCCGGTCCGTTCCCCACACAAAGCGTCCCTTTAGGTGGCTTTGGGTGCCTGCAGAAAGGAGACCCCGCAGCCTCTGTGCTCCGTGCCCCCTCAGCACAGCGCTTCCAGCTCCCCGGCCTGCAGCCCCTGCCTGCTGCCCTGCAGAGCCCGGCCCTCTGCGCCTCCCCTCCGCTCGGTGCTGCTCTGCTGGGGGCAGGCAGCTTCCTGTTGGGCTGCTTTTTTCTTTCTCTGACCAAACCTTAGTTGGGAGATTGACAAAATTATGGCGCTTTTGTGTTGGAGATTGAAAATAGGCAGCTCTCCTTTTGTTGGGCTTAATTGCGCCCCGTTTTTCGGCGCCGATGCGATCGTAGATGTGAGAAGGATGTTAACTCGCCTGCTTGGGTGCGTGCCCATGTGTTATTAATTGGCTGCTGCCTTAATTATAGCATCTAATGGCTCAGGTGGAGAAGGAGCCGTGAGACTGAGGGTGTGAGGCCAGGAAGGGAATGGGGGCAGAAGTTCTGTAGGAGGTGCTGCGGTGCCTGGGGTGGATCTGCAGGTGGACTGCACTGTGGGGCAGGCTCTGCCCATGTGGGGCTGGGCTGGGGGAGAGCAGAGGAGCTGAGAGGGGGCTGCTGCCAGCACCACAGCTCTGAGAGACTGATCTCTGAGGATCAGAGAACCATCAAACCATGGCGAGGTTGGGCTGGAAGGGACCTTAAGGATCAGAGAACCATGGAACCAGT